ACTAGGTTTGGCAAGTACTGAACCCATTTGCAGTGATACCAGTAGAGAGATTCAACTATCTCCAGTTTTTACTCTCGCAGAATTGCTCAAATCTTCATCCTCGGGTGCAAAAGCAGCTCCAACTACTTCTCAGAATGTGACCATTTGTGAATCTACAACCGAAAAGCCATCCATGAGCGATACATTTCGTGCTTCCCAAATTCCAACTCGAATACATACCGAAATTACTCCCGAAATCTGGCTGCAACCATGCCACGAGCACCAGACAAAGTGGACCGAGATGATTCAATTATTTCGCGAGAAATATCCAGACAGTGATATTAATGCTAACTCATTGAGGTGTCGACTGAAAGTAAAAAAAGACCGGTCTCGAAAGCTTGTTCGTGCTGAAGATGATAATCCTACCAGTAGCCTCGTTCCGGTTGCAGTTGCTTTACCGAAGCCAACAAAAGTGACAGCTTGTGAAAGATGTCGGAAAAAGAGGAAGCGATGTGGTGATGCAACTCAAAACGACAAGTGTGAGCGCTTACAGAAGACGAGTAGCTCTAATATTCAGGCCTTCTTTCGGTCTCAAGCTTGAGCTTAGATTATAATATTTGAATACACAGGCGGCATAGTACTGTACATTCACACTGACTTAAGTTTTGTAAAGAAGGTTCGAGTTGATTTTTTGGATTAGAGCGGGGACTCGAAACGTTTTATAGAAACTATAACGGTGGCGAGCGGTCACAAACGGTGACAAGCTGTCGCAAACGGTGTCGGAAGATTCCGGGGCATTTACGACAAACCCTAGAATCTTTTTTTTTTTTTACGAAAGAAAGAATTGTAGATTTCTTCAGAAGTTCATTACAATAGTGTACTAATGTTTGCAGTACAAATTACAAACGTAGACTCGTAGCGATCGTAAGTACTGCTTGAACGAGTAGGCGTCTTATATTCACATCTTGTAGTCTGTATACTAACTGTTTCATAAGAATCTGAAGGTTAATCACTATCGCGTCAACCCATACACACAACAAACATACATCGTATTGCCAATTTTGCTGTTTTCGCTGCCCCTTCCTCCCTTTAGCCGTCAAGGAAGATGCCCTTCAACAATGATATCCGCGCCTACTTCTACGAGCCTCTCGACGAAGGCCGCTACCGATGCAAACAGTGCGGTAGTGAGCGAAAGAAGCTCATCAACTTGGG